AGCAGGAATTTGTTTATCTTGCATCTGTGTTCATCAGTGAGAGTTTGCTGCTGTAATTTCTTTGCCAGTCAAAACTGTAGTTTACTCCAGAATGCTTACTGTTTCTCACTTACAGATTTTTATTCAGCTTTGTACGTGAACATTGTCTCTAAACAAACAAACAAGCAAACAAAAAAAACCCACAAAAAAAACCCCCAAGCAACAACGAAGAAATGAGAAGGAAGATACAGGGGAAGGAGGGTGTCCAGTTGTTTTCTTGAGGCTGGATTTCAGTTAAAAAACAAAACCAACACAACACACCTGTTCAAGCAGGCCTTATTTAAAGAGCAGAGACTAGTAGGTAGTATATATTCCCCTTGTACTATAGTTGTTCTGGTTTAAACACCCTGTTTCACTGCCTTGCTGCCTGCTGATTTTATTAGTCATGTGGTGACTGGCATGCTCTTGTAACGTTGCTGCTTAGTGAGTTGCAGAGGAAGATTGGAGCTGGCACTGCCAACAAGTAGAGATGGCTGTAAAAAGAAATGTGCATTCTGAATTTAATGTAACTAATTTCAGACTTTCTTTCCTCACTCAGATTTTTGATAAAATAGTCATCATTTTCTCTCTTTATTTTGTAGTTTTGCAAATTTGAGAATTCACCCTCATGGATTAGTGTTGGTAGATCTGCAGAGCTACAATGATCATACAAAAGGAAGAGAAGAGGTTGATCAGGTACGAGTGATGCTTGTCAAACTGCATGGGAAGCCCCTTCTTTTCATCAGATCTATTGAAGTGTATCTTGGCAACAGATTCTTAAATATCAAAGTTAGTTCAAACCTGAGTGCTTATAGATTAGGAACAGTAACACCTATTGTAGTTGCATATACGTATGAGTATGTGTGCACATACACACATGCACTCTCTCTCTTTTGAATGTCCTGGGCCTCATATTCTTTGCTGTACAAGTTGTAAAGACATAGTGGCCTTTGTTAGGGCTCAGGTCTCTTCAGGTCCCCACGGCAGTGAGGGAGAAGTGATGCTCAACCCACAGCCTGGTATATTAGTGTATGACTTTTTTTTCCTTCTCTAATCTGAGAGATGGGGAGCCTCTATATTCAAGCTTCTTCCCCATGGAGAAAAATAATTTCATCTTCCATGATATGAAGGCTCCAGAAATTGCATAGTGCAGGGAAACAGGCCACTGCTTTGGTGGGAATGAAACCTTGCAGGGTTCTCATGTTCCCTCTTTGGCTGTGCCTGAAAGCTCTGTCTCTCTTATCCTGGAGGCCAGCTAAACGCAGTGATGACAGCTGCTACAATATGCACATTCTTGCTAGTAACAAGGCTAAGGTGGCCACCTAGTTATTCATAGGCATCTAATGTTACATTTCAAACATTACATTTCAGTACAGGTGCTACTTTTTATTGCCTTCCAAGTAGCCTACTTTAACAGATATTGTACATTAAGCAATCACCTGTAAATTCCACCTCTCATTTGCTATTTTTTTCAGCTTCTAAACAAAGTGGAAGAAAGAATGAAAGAATTGTTTGATGGCAATATAAAAAGGGTGAAACGGTAAGTTCATATGTCTACTCCTGTATGTGGCTTGTCTGCACAGTTATTCAAGATAATAAGCAAATTATGCCTTGCTGTACTGCGATGAGTAGCCTGGAGTATGAATTTACACATGTGTGTTTTTCCCCAATATTTTAAAATTGTTTTATTGCAGAATTGAAGATACTGTGAGGTTTGTCGTTTTGTTAAGTTTCATCTTCAGTATTATTATTTTGGGCAAGTGTTATTTCTTTAGTTTGCTGCAAAGTTTGCATGAAATGGTGGGACAAAATGCAACCAGAAAGCAAGAGCAGGCTCCTTGGGCAGGGCTGGCGAGCTAAGGGTGGCAGGGGGATGGGCCAGGGCATGAACCGTTCCCTCTGGGCCACATCCCACAGCTCATGGACAAGGCAAGCAGGGCTGGTGGTAGTGACCAGGGTCAATCCCAGCCCTGTGACTGCCAGGCTGGGCTGTAGTACTGAGGCAGCTCCAAGACCAAGCTGGGTGTCAAGGACTGGCGGAAGACTTGGGCAGGTGTGGGCAGAGCTGCAGCATAGCTTGGGCAGGGACCAGGGGCAAGGGCTGGAGCTAAAATGAAGCTCAAGCCCATGGAGGAGGCCCTGCCCCGACGAGGTTTCCTGCAGCTGTTTCTCACAGCTCTGTCCCTGCTGTGCCTTGTGGCGCTGGCCTTGGGCACGTGTGGCAAAAACCCTGGGGGAACCTGTGTGCTTAGGGCCCTGCCAAGAAGATACAAGTGCTTTGTAGCATTTTTTTAAAATATAACTGAAGGAGGGAGGCTTTGCAAGCTTTCTGTCATTTTGACTAACTTAAATACAGGGTTATATATGAACTGTAGGGATGCTAATTGTGGTTTGTTGCCTGCTGTGGAAACGGCATTCACATTGGAGTTCCTCAGGGATCTGGAAGGACACAGCTCATGTTGGTGTCGTCTTGCTGGCTGTCTGGCGGTGACTGGCACCCTGAAGCCAGGGAGCACTTACTGCAGGCATGCCTTGCTGGAAGGTGCAGCAGGTGCTTTAAAGAACATAGAAGTGGAAATGGTTAAGAAAATTAAAAAGCAGTGTAAAATCAACACGGTTCAGTAAAGCCAAGGAGCAGACTACAAAATGGGAAAACAGCTAAGCAGTACTATAACAGAAAGTAATCTGAAGGCTACATGAGACCACAAGTAAAGTGGTAGTGATTTGAAAAATCATGTTGGACCTTGAATAATATTTTTTGTGTTTAACAGTTGTTTGTAAAACACAGAGCAGTAGTTATCTTCCTTTACTTCATCCTGGTAAAGTCTCACCTGGCGCACAGTGTGCAAATGTAGATAATCTTGTATATGTGTATATGAGTGAGATGCGCTCTCTTTGAGGGTATTTTAATACTGAAGTAGGATATTGGGAGTTTGTGGAATCCTCGTGATAGGAAGTTGTTAAAAATGAGTCAGGAAAAAGTCTGCCTGAAGTGGTCTGAATTAATTTGATAACCGTAATATAGGAAAATGAACTTCCTAGAAGCTTGGATCTGGCATGGATCTTTACACAGCTCCCAACCTTTTTCTTTTTTTCTCTCTCTCTTTTTTTTTTTTTTTTTTTTAATTTACTTTGTACCCTTCTGGTGTTAGCTTCACGCATGCACCTCCACTAGAATTAATGCTGCTGGAAAAGTTATTGCCTGTTTGTTGTCTTGATGGAATGAATAGATGCTCTTGCTCTTACCGTGTGCTGCCATCTTGCGGCCCATTGAGTAGAGTAAAAAGTAGAAAATATTTCTGAATTGTTTGTTGAAAATCACTAGTGAATTTAGAAGAAGCTTGTCTATGTCTGGTCTTCTGCTATACCCTCCTCTGGAAAAAAAAAAAACCCTGAACTCTGAAGTGTGTGTGGGGGAGATCTGATGAACTCTGTACCTGCACATTTTGCTGAAAATGGAGTGCAATCATGTTGACCGTTCACTGTCATTTCAAATATAGTTTGTCTTTACAGGTGAAATATTGATTTGAGCCAAGATATTTAAATATGGAAGTAAAAAAGCCAAGACCAATAAACAAACCCAAAACAATCTATGTAGATGCTTGAAGCACTTTTAAAAAGTAATGCAAACTGTTAAGCACAATCCTTGATATCACCTATACACTGCAGGGTGACCTGTTTCAGTTTGAAACACTAATAGTTCACCTTTTGTGTTTGTATATGTATTTAAAATATCTCTCAGTACAATTTAGAAGGGTGAGATCCACTAATCTCAAAGAAATGGCATTCTTAGCTGAGCTGGAGGTGGAAAGAGGTTTTGTCATGGTTTTTTGATTGCATTCTGTTTTTGTATTGTATCTGTTTCTAGTCATGAGCTGATTCTTCTGCAGAGGCTGGTATGTAAATCCTCTGTCTTAGGGTAGAAATAGATTCACATGCAAATTGTGGAAGTTGTACATAAAGAAAAAACATTTATATTTCATCTGTGCCGTAGCAGGTTATGTATATTTAACATGGATGATAGGTTTCTTAAATCCGTTGAGTGTTAAATCTTGCAAGTTTTCTTAGATCTTTCTTATACTTATTTATTATGCTGAATCCAGAGGATGTTCAGAGGGAAATTTTTAAAAAAATAAACATTCTCAAATGTTTTGGAATCTTTTTTTCTTATAATTTATTTCTAGACTGCCAGCCATTTTGAGAGGAGGTGTCATTGATAGATACTGGCCTACAGCTGATGGGCGCCTGGTGGAGTATGACATAGATGAAGTTGTTTATGATGAAGATTCACCTTTTCAGAATATTAAAATTCTGCATTCAAAACAGTTTGGGAATATTCTTATCCTCAGTGGGGATGTCAGTAAGTATCATCTCATTTGACAATATTTTGTGTGAAACTGTAGGAAGCGTTGTTTTCTATCTTGCTGTGGCACAATACTAAGGGTCATGGGTCTGATGCAGGAAGCTACTTATATGCATGTACATATATCTGTTCCTGTATATAAAGTATTTTAATCAGAAAGGCTGGTCAGTGTAAAATCTAGAGTACAAAAAAAGTTTTCTTCTTTTTCCAAAGTTGTCATCTTTGCTGTGGAAGGTGGCACAGCAGAATAGAAGTCGGACTGTTCTCTAGCAGAGCTTACTCTACTCCTTTCTTTCATATGAGCTGTTACCTGTTTGTTGCAAGTCCAACCTCTCGAGGGCTTCTCTTTGAGAGTAAAAATAAGCTACTTTATCAGTCTTCAAAACACAGTGAGGCTATATTTCTGAAGAAATATGAAGAAGTAGGACCTGGGGAGGGGGTGCGTGTGTGTGTGGATATAATCCTGCTGCTCCCTTGATTCTCTAATGGAATTACCTGCTTGGTGAGATACAGGAGAGCTGTATCTTAACCCGTTTAGCTGCTTTGTTGGTGAAAGAACTCTGTCTTCTTCAAACTGCTCAGTTGAACTCCAAGTTAATCAGAAGAGTGACCTAACCTTTATAGGAGTATCTTTACATGTGATACTCTGTGCCTGCTGATCTTTGTGGTTTTGAAAGTGAACTTGGGAGAAGATGGGCTACTGTTCTTTTAAGCTGGATAAGAATGCTGTTTGCTAGAAATTCTAGTCATCAAGGAGTATGCTTCATAAAATCTCTCAGTACTTATTGAAAAGTACTGACTGAGGTAAATGAGGGATTTTGCTGTCTAGGGATGGGATACGTAATTTCAGTCTAATGGCAGAGTAATTCAGAAATTTGACTATAGCTTTTTGAAATCACCAGAAATACCTCTAACCATTCAGTTAGCTTTCTGCAACTGTCAGGGGGCCTTCTGTGCAGATGGCAGCTGAAAAGTGTTGTTACTGAATTCATTAGCAAGGAATTTTCTAATCCAGTTAGAATTGTATTTGAAATCACCAAATTAGATATTCAATACTTCTGGCTAGAAATTTTTGTAAGAGTTTCATAAGGAGATGAGGTTTTATTTGAATGTTGTCACAATGTGCCACATAGAAAGGGAAGTATGCCATTACTTATTTACCTTCCATGGGATTTTAAAATACTGTTTAGTGTCATTTTCTTACTGTGCATTTATAAGCCAAGTGTTGATTGCCAGGCAGAATGATAGGATACACCATGATGTGCTGCTGCGCAGTTTTGCCCTTGTAGCTCAGATCTCTTATTAGACCTAGAATGTTATTGCCTGCTTTGAAGCTAATGGTAAACAAGTCAACAGAAGGCATGTTTCAGGGCCCTTCAGCAGTTAACAGTGTTAATTACGCTTCTCTGTAGGCATCCACTGGGGTGCATCTAGGTCTCTTTTTAGTTGGGGTCCAGAATGTGCTTTCAGAATCTCCTGTTTTGTCTCTTGCAGCACTAGTCTGAGGTGAAAACCTACTGAACTATCAAGTGTGGACACCAAGTCCTAAGTACTGACTGTTTTGCTCTACTTTGTTTCTCTTAGCATGCATTACTTCCTAATGCTGAGGTAGCCATTGCTGGGTTTGCAGTGAGAACTAGAGAAATCCTCTGTGGCATTCTGAGGAGGACCTCATTAGCTTTGGTAAATCACCAGCCTCTGTTACCTGGCCTGTCTCTGGGAGCTAGGTTGTTGCTGTAGGAGCTCTTGCTTTGTATTTAATCACCTTTGGATTAATACCAAATTGATACCAATTAATGAGAAGAATTAAAGATGTAATTTTTCTGTCCAACTCTTTCTTCCTTCCATTCAGATCTGGCAGAGAGTGACCTGGCATATACTCAAGCCATAATGGGCAGCGGAAGGGAAGACTACACTGGGAAAGAGGTGTTAATCCTAGGAGGTGGTGATGGAGGTATACTATATGAGATAGTCAAACTGAAGCCAAAGATGGTTACTATGGTAGAGATATCCTTTCACAAATGACTGGTAATTTGTTTCAACATTTTTCAGACTGCGTTTTCTGGTGATGTCATAGCACTGAGCACAATAAATTATCAGGTTCTGATTTGCATGAGGAGATAGGGTCTGAAATTAAATTTCTTTTTGTCAGCTTAGAGACATCCAGTGACTATGTATTTGTGCGTCGTTATGTAGCACGTGCTTTCGAGTTCCCAATCCATACTGTAACTCTCGAGTAGCAATTTACATAGAACTGGAAAAGAATACTTCTGTCATCAAACTGATAATATTCCCTGATGTCAGATGATAGGTCTGTCGAGTCTGTGGTTTGGGCTGAGTTCTGCCTTCTTGGGTTCTTCTGCTTTTCTAAAGAAAGCCATTAAAAAAAAAAAAATTCACTAGAAGCAGAAAAGTTTAATCAATAGGAATGTCATGACTTGGTCAATTGGGTTGGTGGCAGAATGACCAACTCTTGCTCTTTCTTAAAAATACAGATAAAAATCCAAGTTTTTAGCATTACGTAGTTTGAATAGTTTGTAATGTAAATGTATGTAAGCCATATGAAATGTTGATCATCCTAGGTTTTGGGATCCCCTTACTAGAAACTACAGAGAACACAAATGTAGGTTAAAGTTGTAACCTAGTTTAGCTTTATGGGGTTTTTAAATACACCATCCAATTGTTCACATTTCAAACTTAGACAGTAATGGAAACCTAAGGTACCAGAAATACTGGTTCAAAACAAAAATAAGCATTTCCTAAACATGGACGTGAATACATAAGGTTGGCTATTGCAATATGTGTGTAATCATTTGTGAATGTCACCTTTTTGAGAATTTCTTTCTGAAGAAATAGAAACTGTTACCTGTATTATTTCTGGAGCATAGAATGCCTTAACCAACTTCAAACATTGACCAAATGGTGATCGACGGGTGTAAAAAATACATGCGTAAAACATGTGGAGATGTCTTAGACAATCTGAAAGGAGAGTGCTATCAGGTAACTTTTTGTTTTTCTTTCATTAGAAGTAATATTTCCAATACAGTTACACCTAGTATGGAAGACTGCTGTGACAAAGTTGTGGGGAAAAGTCTTCTGATTTTTCTTAATTTGGGAAGGGTTTTTTCCTTTTTTTAAGGCAATTCTAAATTTTAGTAACTGGCAGTGGGATTTGTGTTGGAAATACACATTAGCGTCAAAATACTTTAACTCTCCATCTTCAAACTCTTTTATAAATATATATAGCTTTTAAGGAATGTGAAATAGGAGAATGTTTATTGCCATGGCTTACAAATAAAGAAGAAATAGCAGTAAGGATGCACTGTTAAACAGTGTTAAACTGATGAAACGATTCAAGAAACATGTATTTAAGTTAGTTGTCCTGTACTGTTGAGAATATCTGAATTTGTAATACACATTTGGAAATTAATTTGCAGGCAAATCTCTTACCACTACACTGCTAGTATATTAAAAACTGGGGGGGCGAGAAATCCCTGCAGTTAAGGTTTTTATGTGCTGCATCTGACTTGTCAGATTATGCCTGTGCTACTTCATATCTTCACTGGAAATCTTTTCTTTGTGTTATCATTACTACTCCTTAAGGCTCTCACAGAAACTAGTTTCCAGGTGTGAGCTAAAAAAAGCATGTAAAAAATTAACAAGGAAGTCACATGCTACTTTGCATGAGTCAGTGGCCCTTCATACAAATATGTTATTTTACTTGTATGTTGGGGGACTGCTAACTGTTGTTACCATTTGGTAAGTAGAACAGTGGTCACCCAGCAATCAGTGACAGAGCTGGGAAATTCAGTCCTGTAGTGCCTATGTTGTCATTGTTGTAATTCCTACATCATATAAAAAAGTAGTAACAGTTGTAAAAAGTTGAAAATGGATCCTAAAATTAAGTGCATGTTTAGCTTTGCACTTTTCACCTCCTCTTAATTCCTGTGGATCTGCATTTGTTCCTTTTACCTGGTCAGTTTTAGGGTATTTGAGGACTAGCTACAGTATTTCATTCTTATAGGTTCTGATTGAAGACTGTATTCCCGTACTGAAGAGGTATGCCAAAGAAGGAAGGATGTTTGATTATGTAATTAATGATCTGACAGCTGTTCCAATCTCCACGTCGCCAGAAGAAGGTTAGTCTTCTAATTTATTTTCCTAAAAACTTCTGAGGATTTTCCATGTTTCTGCCCTTCCGCTGCATAATAGTTGGCAGTTTGCAACAAATACACTTTGCCTCTTGCCTTTTTAATAGCAATCCAAGAGGCAAAGAATGGTAGCAGCACATCTGTTCTTTTTGAATTTTTCTTGAATGTTAGAAAAAATGAGCAAGTTCCTAGGACTTTTTTAAACTGTGCTTTTATTCCAGAATATTATGAACTCATGTAATTCTTGAGAAAGTATTTGGGGAGTTGACACTCCAGTAAATTTTTCCCCACTCTATAATTTCTTGGAAACATCTGGAAAAATACTGTGAAGAAAAATAGAGGTACTTCCACCATCATTGCCATTGTGTATGGCTTGTGTGTGGGGTTTTTACTGTTATTTCTTTTTGGTTTGTTGTTGTGGGTTTTTTGTTTTGTTTTGTTTTTTGTTTTTTTTTTAAGGTATACGATAGCTACTTTTTAAACAGTAAATATGTTGCAAGTCTTGAATATGTAATAGTGAACAAACCAGTAATGTGCTGTTCTGTTTTTAAATCGTACTCTATATGCAGATTCCACATGGGAATTTCTGCGGTTAATTCTTGACCTCTCCATGAAAGTCCTGAAACAAGATGGAAAATACTTCACACAGGTATGATATCTGGATGTAAAAACGTATTGCTGTATATGTATTGCAATGTGCATTTTTCAGGTTTAAAAAAAAAGGAGGGGGGACAGACACAAAACCAAACCAAGTAACTAAATATCTACTAGCAAGCTGTTTTTTTCCTCTTCATGACTCATTAGGGATTTCTGCATGAAATTTGGGCTTTGCTAACTGACTTGACTTTTTTCATTGTTTCAGCTGAACATGTGGTATCTTTTGAATTCAAAACCATAATCTCAAGTATCAGCTAGGCATACTACAGAGTATTTTAGCTGCAAGCAATTCTTGGAAAAGCAGAACAGATGTACTCTATAAACATGTACATGGTTTTTAAGCTAATGTCTCCAGTTGTAGAGTGTAAGACATGAAAATTTGTCATCCATAAAAGTGTAAGAATTTGACATACGTGCAATAGGATGAGAAAATTAGTCATTTGGGAGTAAATACTCTTTTTGTTTTCTACCCACTCCTAATGCCAAGTCACTGGTTTGGCTTCTGCAAAATGGATTGTGAACATTTGAATATGTTTGTTACAATGTTTGGCATTTTGTGAAGTATTTTATATAGTCATAAATAAGATTTTGTCCTTGTGTATGAAGTTTTTAATGCAACACTATTTAAAAAAATTAAGATTTATATACTTGCTACAATATAGGCACCTCATGGGTAATATAATTATGGTATAGCTTTCATCTGAAGATACTTTCTGTATGTAAACCTGAATTTGGAAAGCCACAAAGCTATGTGCAATTGTACAAAAACCTGGCAAGACCCAGGAGACGGCTGAGTGAAGTATAAGTCTCTGAAGTTGTATTTGTCATGCCCATACCTTAACGAGTCTTCTGATGTGTGGAGCATCCAAGTACAGCATTTTGAAATAAACTTGTTAAGTTCTGAAATAACCTAGCTAAAGTTATGCGTTTGAACTCTATTCTTACCACCATAGAGTTTCTGAGGTGTGTAAAGGAGCTGGTTTACTGTAAAATTGGACAGGTTTATAAAGAAATGCAAAACTCGTAGAATGAGGTTTTTGGCAACTTTGATGTGCTGCTTTGTTTTAAAATGCTGTGGTTTTATGGCCAAAACAAATTATCTTGAAACATAAGAGATGACTAATATGGTTGTATCACATTGTAAATCTTAATGGCTTTTCTATTCTGCTAGTAGTGGAAATATTTATGACAGACTTTGATATTGAAAGGACATTACATCTTTTGGTCAGAGCAAGCATTTGTGTTGCAGTTGTCAGACTTGCAACATACACGATGAGACTAGTTGACTTCATTAGAACATATGTAAATGTATGTCTGTTGATAGGTGTCTGTCAGACTTTGCAGAAGGACTCTGGGAAGAAGCTTGTGCTGATGGCTGGAGTGATGGCTGTGCTGCAGCCAGGGTACAGGGGGGTTCTTTTGTCAGCTGAAACCAATAGAGGTTGAGACTGGTGCAGCCCTGCTGCCTGTCCTGTCCGGATGGGAGGAGGTAACTCAACTCTCCAGCACCTCTGCTTGCACAGGACGAAAGGACAGCAATAGTGAACCGACCCTGGCGGGTTTAAGCCATTGTGAAACTGTGCGATACCAGTTTCACAGTCCCAAAGCAACAAGGTGGGACATGGGAGGATGGGAAAGAAACTATTAAATTTGGCTTTAATTAGGACTTGTGGCTAACTGATAGCCAGTAAAAAGGCTGGAGTATAGAAGCAGTGTACTTTGGCAACTTAGTCTTCCTATGGGTGTTGAAAAAAGGAAAATTAATATTAGGGCAAATGGCTGTTGGAGCTTTTGATGTATCTACTGATCCAATACTCAGCCCATTTGATGGTCCTTGTAACCTCTTCCCAGTAGGGCCTGATACAAAATGAGAAGTTCAAACACGAGCACTACTGACTTTGGTAGCTGAGGTTAGTCACACACTCAGAACTCATAAATGGTTTTGAATGCTTTGATATGTTAGCTGTTAAATGCCAGGGTTTTTTAGCTCTGAGTATTAATGTTGGAAATCTAAGTTACTTTCGTTCCAACTGTTTACTTCCAGGATGCTTATCTTAGGTAGCAGGCTGTACTTGCTGAAGGAATCACATGCGTTTTTAGGCAGTTGTGTTTTTTAAATCGAGGACTTTGTGCCCCCCGCTTTCTGGAGGTGCATTTTAGTTCTCTAAAACATAAAATATGTTAAAATCATCAAGAAAAGCAGCTCGGGGAATGTCCACCTATTTGTTAGAGCCTGACCTTTGCTATGATGAGGAAACATCTCATAGGAGAGATGCTGCAAAAGGGTCATTGTGCTGTTGGCTACTGGCCAGTAGCTATAGTTGCTTCTTCTGCCTTGGCATTATGTCGTATTAACATTCGAACCTTCTGTCCTCTGTAGCTTGTAGCTTGTCCTCTGATAGTTCTGCTTGCAGGGGTTACCTTGTGCATCTTGTTAGAATGTCACTTATTTCAATGCTCAAGAAATGCTTTACCCAAAAGTGGAATTCTGTTCACAGAATGCCAACCTTTCACATCCTGTATTGCTGCCTGACTCTCTAAATGTCACTGCTAGGAAAAATAAATGGAAACTCTAATCACCTCTTTATTGAGCTCTGCGCAAGTTTTGGAAAATGTTCTCTTCAGCACATGAATTGATTTTTTGAGGTGTTTTACAGTAGACAGCAAGCTAACGCCTTTCTGTTATTACTAGGAGCAAACCTCTACAAGTGTTGTTCAGGACTGCTGTCAGCAGGCAGGGTCTAGAGCTGTCTAACTGCAGTGCTCTAGAGTCCAGAAGCATTGGCTGGAAAACAGTCTTTAAAATAGTTAGCAATAGCTCTTATTTCCAGAATATCCCTATTAGGTTGATAACATGGAAGCAATACAAATAATAATGGCAGACTGTACAGTGCCAAAAGAAGAGAGTGATGCACCTTAGGCTGCTACTTAACCTCTTCTACTTCACAGAATCACAGAATCACTAGGTTGGAAAGGACTTTCAAGATCATCAAGTCCAACCATTAATCCAGCACCACCATGTCCCCTAAACCATGTCTTGAAGCGCCACATCGTTTTTTGAACACTTCCAGAGATGGCGACTCCACTGCCTCCCTGTGCAGCCTGTTCCAATGCCTGAGCACCCTCTTAGTGAAGAAATTTTTCTTAATATCCAATCTA